AAACAGTTCTGGTCCATGTTGGCCCCATCATACAGGCCTGACCTCATAACTTCTAGGACTCAACTGATGTTCAGTTGATTAAAAACAAGACCTACAAAACTCTGTCAGAGTCTACGTTTCAGCGGTGATGAGCTATTCGTGAATGAATGGTCATAATGATTTGGCTGATCTGGTGTGTAAAATGAAAGATGGAAGAATGAAACCGATGGAGCATCAGAAGCAGGTTATTGTTTTTGGACCACCTGGGGAATGTTTGCAGAGTTTAATAAGTCTAAATGTCATGACTTTATTGGCTTCATGGATGGATGTGTCTTCTCCTCCCTGCTGCTCTCTCTCCATCATTTCTTTTTTTTTATTAAATTTCCTCCAAGTGATACTCCACAGCTTTCAATCTAAAAGGAAGCTGAACCGACGTACCAACAACCTCACAACCTGCAGATTCACACTCAAACAAAACATTTGGTTATTTCAATACAACAAAGCAAATATAGAATACTACAGATTAAATTAGAGTCAAATAAAAACAGTACAAAACTATAAAGTGATGAAATCTTATCTGAACCGAATCCATTAACAGTTCAATGACAAGTATTTCTAACTGATTAAACTAAGTTTGATGTTCTGTGAAAGTGCAGATTTTATCACATCATTTAATTAAAAAATCCCTGAACAGGAAACTCTTCAGGCTGTCGGAGAACAAGGTCTGAAGTTCACAACAGATTCTGTCTCAGAAATTGACGCAAAGCTCCAAAAATATCTTTACAACTTCTGTTCCAGCCACAGATTATCCTACAAAACCACAAAAACGTATTAAAAATCACAAAAACAGAAAAGATCAGGATCAGAAACCCCTCAGGTATCAGTTCAGCTCCGTTACAAAAGAGCTTCAAAGTTAAACAGGTTTACACCTCTGTCAGAACCAGAACAGCTTCAGCTTAATTTAGCCTTGTGTTTTGGTTAATGAGTTATTGTTATGTGTGTTAGATTTTAGTTTAATCTCCTTGTTTTAGTTTGGTGAATCTTATGATTCATGAGCCTGATCACTCCCTGTGTTATGTTTCTCATTTTAGAGTTTAATTTTCTGTGACTCCTGTGTTTAGTTATGTTTTCACTTTTTCCTGCGTGCCATCACTTTTCTACCCTCAATTTTTTTTTTGCTGCTTCGTCGGCTTTTTTCTTCTTTGTAAATAAACGAGTTCTTTAATTTTACCATCGAGTTCTGACTTTTTTATGTTCTCACCTCTTCCAAACATGATCTAAAGAAGTTAGAAGTTTTTATTTTTTTTTATTTTGTTAAAGCCTTGTGTTCACACAGAAAAATAACTTTTAACTGTATTTTATTAAACCGAAAAGGTTCCAGAATGAGAATATCTTTAAACAAAACCTTTTAACAACAATGATGTCATGGTTCACCTGTCTAACCCACGACCCAAACTATGACAGATTTCATGCAGATGCCAAAACTGTTGCCTCGCTTCAAGGTTGATGAACTAGCTTTAGTTTGAATAAAAGAGAAAACTAAAACTACAGTGGTTTGCAAAAGTATTCATACCCCTTGAACTTTTCCATATTTTGTCACATTACAACCACAAACATAAATATATTTC